CGTTTCCAACCAATATGGCCACCAGAACCTCCTCCTCGTCATCTCCTTTCCTCAATCACATGTTCCTCTCACACTGTCCACCAGTCAGTATCGTCGAATTTATTTTCTTTCTTATCTAAGGCGAGCCAGTCGAATGCCCCCACGACCCCAGAAAGACCTATCATCCCATACGGCTGGGTCTCCCAAGTTTCCCCTTTCCTTCAGGCTGCATATTAACATCTTACATGGGTCTCTCTTCTTTTCCATCCGTGTTAAATATCAGAGGCCTTCTTGAGCAGCTACTAGGCTCTCAACTGACATAAAACTTCCCCACAGTTCATCCCAACGTTCATTCCCATGTACACAACAGCCTCTCACTAGGCTTTGTCCGGAACCATTTTAGTCCAATCTTAATCCTCAAGCCTTATTTCTTTAACATCCATTTTAAAACTAGCCTCCCATCTACTACATTTTGCAAGTGGACCCCCACACTTCGATTTTCCGACTACGATATATATTCATTAAAATATAATATAATTTTGAAAGGAATTACATGAAATTCAAGGTAATACTTATCAACCTCACATTCCTACAATTGCATACGAAAGTCGCTTAAATCCTTGAAGCTTTTTGAAGCTATTTATAATTTAAATTCCAGACATATTTATACTACCTAAGTCAAATTTATTACGATAATAAAATCAAGGAGGCGGTGATGGGCGAGGCATGTTGCACGAATGGGAGAGATCATAAATAAGCACACATTTTGGTAGGAAATCCTGAAAGAAAGAGACCTCTCTGAAGGTAAAGACGTAGATGAAAACAAAGGATTTTAAAGAAGAAAGGTGTGAGGGTGTGAACGGGATTAGTCTGGCTGAAGACGAGGACCGATGTGAACACGACAATGAATTTACGAATCCCGTAAAAGACGGGGGATTCGATCAGCTGAGCGACTGTCAACTATTAAAAAATAATATTCTTTAGTTACAGTTTGGTAACTAGAACAGAGCAAATTTGTGATTTAAAGCTTCGTTTATAGACTTCTCTTTCATTCCTCCTCCTTCCTAATACCTTCTTTCGATGCCAGACATGTATTCCACACGTAGACAACCATTCATTGAATAAAATTGATCTTATTCGACTGCAGTAACATGTTTGAACCAAACTAATCATCACCAGGCCCTTTATCTGTATGACTCAGCTATAAAATCCGTCTAAATATTAATTCGACCAGTGGATATGTTACCTTCTTCAGTTATTGACTCGTTCCTTGTACGTGTCTTTTCTTATTTCGCCTTTGTTTACGTGTCTTTTTCCTTCATTCCTTTACTCTCGCACATAAACATTATCGTCCAGTACCTTACTGTGTATATGAAGGCAAACATTGTCACTGCTGAACTGTGACATGGGAAATGATGATCCAGACTTGCTTACAAGATTCTTACGCCACTTTAACTGCATCTTTGAGGAAGTATTTTACGACTCAGACCAGCAGCGAAGAGGGGAACTTGCTGAACGTGTGAACGACCTTACCGCAGGTGATAGCAGCAACGTGTTAACATGTCCGCGCGTCTGTCTGTCTGTCTGACTTCTCCTGCTTCTCCGCTGACACACAGAGTTTGTATTTTATTTTATTTTAAAAGAAATAACGTGGTCAGTAGTACGAAGCTGTCCCAGCCTCAGGCTCACAGAATATTTCACGACCCAACAGCCTTGTTTTGTGAAAATAAAACCTTAAACTACAGTGACAAGATCTTTAATTTAGAAACATTTAAGATCAATATTATATCCTATGTGAAACACGCCTTAATATGTCTTTCCCAATTAACTATTCCATAGAAACGAATCATTTTGGAGTATATCAAATTTAAAATTTATTGACGATGGTGAAGAGTCAATTGAATAAAAATTTCCTTGGATATTATCCATCGTCTAATAAATATAAAACATAAAACGACGTTTCGGAGATGGGACTCTATCTCCGTCTTCAGGTTCCTACACAGTTGGGCCCACTAGATAGAGCTAATCCCTATCTCCGGACCTAGATTAGCTCTATCTAGTGGGCCCAACTGTGTAGGAACCTGAAGACGGAGATAGAGTCCCATCTCCGAAACGTCGTTTTACGTTTTATATTTACTAGACGATGGATAATATCCAAGGAAATTTTTATTCAATTGACCATTTTTGAGTAGCTTATTTCCCTGAATCTTATATAGCCCTAAGGTTCATTTCCCTGCTCCTATTTACGACAACTCGCCAACGATCACTATCATCAGCCAGATAAATCCAATCCACAGCCTATTTTCGTACTATTCATAATAACGTTATCCTTCCATTTACGACCACGTCTTTCAAATAATCTCTTTCCTTCGGGATTTTTAACCGAAATGTTCCACGCATTTCCATTCGCTATGTTAAAAATACAATAGAAAGCAAAGCTTTTCATTTTTTTCCTTAATAACTTTTGCATTTTTTAGATTTTTCTCGTTTAATTAAGACTCTTCCGTAAATAACAACATTTTATACTCGTATATAACAATACGGTCACAATACAACTTTCATAATTTGAAATTCGCCCACGGCTTTTCATGTAATTGGCATTATCAGATGACTGGTACAAGACTTGTTCCTGTTACTTCCAGGTCACTCTAGGGCAGCGTTTCTCAATCTATGGTACGCGTACCATTGGTGATACGCGAGCCTATGTTAAGTGATAAGCGAACTAAGCAAGAAAATCAAAATATATTACTAACATAAATAAGTTTTCCCTGAACGCATTTGGTCAGTGGTAAATTTAATGTATTAAATTAAAATTAGTGGTACGCTGTAAGCAAAACTATCCTGAGGTAAAACTATCTTATGAGATAAAATGATTCAAAATATGCCTGTTGCTAAAAAATTTTTATTTGTTTAATTATTTTAAACTTGAAATGCAAAGAGTAGGCGTATGTACTGCTGGCCATATATAGCACAAAAATTTGTCAAATTTACGTTAAATTAGCTTTATTATACCTGTATGACATATGAAGAAGAGAAGTTATATTAATTTTATGGCATAATATTTGGTACCAGAAAATGGTTAACTATCTGCCAAAGAACCATATTAATGTTATCCTCCCACCTCATTGACGATGTCTCAAGTAACCGCTTCCAAAGAGGCTCCCTCTCAAAATTTTGTGTGCATTTACCTTCCCCTCTTAGCATTTTGCCCAGCTTGCTACAATCTCCTGGATTTCACTATCATAACAATACTTGATAACCTATGTAGACCTAAGCCTAATATCCTAAATTTCTCGCTTATCATCCGTACTTGCAGATATTTTAACACTTTAAAGTAAACTGATAAGTTTATACACCACTTGCTTAATTGTTCAATGTTTCTTCCATGGTTCTCAGTGCGTAGGGACGACATTTCCTTAATCAACTTTAAAAACGTTATTTTTCTAAAGGTGAAATTTTTGGTTTTTTTGCAACAAGGACTGAATTCTTAAATGCTATTTAGAAGAGCTGTGGCTTAAGAGGATTAATACGTTCTTTCCTTAAATAAAGAGATTAGATTTTACACCCTTCAAAATTGAATGAAGTCACTTCTTTTTCAGCTGAGGAGAAACCAAATTAATAAATCATATTGATCTTCGTGTTTGCTTTCATAACCTCTTAAGAAAAGCATTTGAAGCCAAAAGGCTGAGGTCACTTCCACAACAGTAACTGATTCAAGTTTAGTTATATTTGGTTAGAATATCAGCCTGAATTCAGGTATTTTGGTTTAGGTTTCGTATAGTTTTTTGAGCCCCCCAAAAAAGATTTAGAATTTTTCCTGGCCGGTTCCTCTCGCCTCATAATTCATAATTCCCAGTGTACACTAACACACATTTCTGTTATATTAAAAGACGAAACACATTTTCAGAGACGTCCCATAACAGTGCTGTTGCCAGCAGCGTAGCCTTACTTCCACGTGTCAGGTGTTGACACGTTGTGTTCGAGGTAATTATTTTTATACAAATTGGAATTCGGTTTCGAGTTCTGAATTATAACCGCACAAACACAAAACAACAAATGTTCGGTAGCATCTTCGTCCAATAAATGTAACCAGAACATTCGTAGCTATGGAAACGGTGACAGATAAATGGCTCCATTTACATTTATCATCGGGTAAACATGGTTCACTACAAGAATAGATTTCTTCGAAACCGTCGTTGCATAAAAACATGTTAGTCTGAAGGTAATAATGTAAATTTAAATTTGGGAGCCACACGGTTTAATAGTAGCTGGATCATCGATATCCTGACTGATATTATCGTTATTTTCCTCAGTTATTTCAGACGAATGCGAGAATTTCACCCTGAAATAGGTCACAACCTTCTCCTTCTAAGCGGAAATTATCAGCATTTCTGAAAACACACGCTGATATCCGCGGCCTGGGCGGGATTCAAACTCACGGCCCGAGTATGCAGAGTCATAATATCACGAGATTCGAAATGCGTGGAAACAAGGACTCGAAATTCATTATTAATAAGAAAAGGGTCCTAATTTATTCTTTCTCGAAATTGAAAAGAATATGACACGTTTCCGCATAATTTAACATTCAATACTTCACCAAAGACGTATAAGATATGAACAAAGATTAAGAAGTAATCTCTTCGTTTTTGTATTTGCACAGCCTTCCTTAGTTACCAGGTTTTTGTAAAAGAAGAATTTAACAGACCCTGTCTCCCTGTTCATTTCGTGAGCCAGCAATCCAAAAATTAGTCATCGACATGGACAATGGCACGTGACTGAATTTCTACACATCCTAGTAAGTTAATTTAATTTGTCGGGCGGTCAGGTACCTTATCATATATAAATTTTCTCTCTTCTATAAAATCTATTAAAACCTACTATAGCATTCTTAAACTTTATTAACGCAATTAATGTCGATTCTTAAACACATATTCCAAAAATAAACATTTTTCTGCTGTAATAAAATATTTCTGCCCCTGTAAAATAAAATGTATCAAATTATATTACTGTGGGATACTTACGATATATGCAGACACGTGTTTCAGCTTACACATTTTCATCAGAAATGCCACCTGTCGGAAAGAAAAAATACTATTATTACTTTACTGTCATACCTCAACTAAAATTAGTTAGGAAGAAACTTAAAATGCTACTCTGTCTCCGAGTTCGTAATTTATAGCATATAATGTATCTGTAAGTACATTTATCAACTAATTTTAGCAGCAAGTTGCACGTTCCTAGTTGAATTTCTTTATTACTTACTTACAGGCAATCGTACATGTGCTGTGTACACTTTGTCATCCTACAACAAAATAATTTTAAAAGTTGCGTATCACTTTCAAATCTTTAATTAAGAACACGCTTAACAAGCCCTTTAATAGTATGACGTACTTTACAGTTTTTAGAACATTTTTGTACTATAATATTTAAGTTCTATTACCAATATCATTACCATACCCACTCACAGCTTTATATTTATACATTTTTTTGTAATACTTTACAGTTCTGCCCCCAGTATCACTGTAAGTTCCTATATAATGTAGTATTTATATTTTAATCTGAATACGTTTGGGGGTATAAACTACGAAATTAATATGAAACAGTAGAAACAACTCTTTGGCGAGACGTGTCTCAAAAGAACAACACAAACCGAGGAGCATATATTAATTCCCATCGCATCTACCAAAAAAATTTCTCGAAGCCTCCTTATTGGTATTACTGACGATCGGAAATTAATATAATTGCATTTGCACCATCCGAGTGGGATATAATTTTTTATATAAAATTTGATTAAAATTTACTGCTAGAAAAAATTGTCGAGAAAGAACACACATATGTACATGATAATATAAGCCTAGGCCTATGTTTAGTTATGAAGTTAGGCTGATAAGTGATCCACCTCTTAAGAAATGTCGTTAGCAGGAAACATGAACTGGAAATTTTAAAATCGTCAGAAAAATATAAACTACATATTTCACAGTAATTTGTAAAATATATTTATTTTGAAGAAGCGTTGTTTATAATTAAATATAATATTTAATCACAACAATTAATTTCATACTGACAGACTGTTAACTTTAGTGTCTTTTCCGTGTCTGACATTATGTTGTACTTCTACATAAATATAAAGAGCGTTTGAAAATGTTACAGAAATGATTTAACTATAACTAACTAGATGCTGCCTCACCGACTAATTAAATGACTAATTAACTAACTAACCACCTGACCAATTACATAACTTGAGAAACTGCAACAGAAATGTGCATCGGCCACAAAATATTCCACTCTTTTGGGACAATCAGCCGTTTGTAAGGTTGAACCAAATTGTTTAAAAATACTGATTCACTGCCTCAACAGACTAAAGTATGTCGAGCTAGTTACTAGAAATGTTGTCTGCGTTTAATTTTAAGTTAGCTTCGTATTCTAAAAAGTATGTTTAATAACTTCTCTTATATCAGCTTTGCTCTAAATGACTAATATATTACCCCCTTGAAAACTACAAGAACCACAAAAAAATAACGTATAAAAGAGTAATGTAATGAACTTATATGTTAATTTTGTGTTTTCGTTTGAAAAATCGCCACAAAGTGAATCAGTCAACTAAAAAATAAGGTAGATGCGTTTGTAGTTCGTTCCTAGAAAGAAGAATATAAAAAATCAAATGCTGTTTTAAATCTAATTTTAACGGCGGAAACCTAGGGGCTTTTAGCAATCTAGTTTTGACTTCCAACGCTTACTGAGGAGTTCAAGCGAAGAGTTAGCTGGCCGGAACTGGCTTCAAGCTCAGCAATTTCGGAAGGTTCAAACAGAAACTTCAGATGAACGTATGTCACTATGGTCAATGTACCCTGGGCGATTTTATAGTAATGTACAAGCTCATGCTTTGGTAAATTATGCAGATAAAGATAAAATTATCACGTTCCTTCGTTATATGTATTTTCCTCACTCGAAAATGAGTTATCAGAAGCTACGTACATTTTATCGTAAAATAATCATCTCATCTTACAAAAGCAAAATTCATTCTTTGTGTTTCGAACACAGAGCTTGTTCTTTTAAATTTCTTGTAACAAATTTAGAAAATTTCCTCCGGCAATGGAGCACATTTTTTCGGACATTCACCTCCATCTAATAAAGTACATAGTTCGTAAAATTTTGCCAACGCTGGATTATTCACATAATTCGCATGGTGATTAAGCACGACGTGAGGCAGCATTTCGTGATTTAATCTGATTATTAAGAAGACTCGAGGTCCGAAAGACGTGTGACCTACATCTCAATATATTTTATTGTCAGAAACGTATTAATGAGGAGGTCATTTTAAATTTGCATGTCCATATTCGTATCTACCTGGACTAATGTGTCTTGGAATCATTATTTATATTCTTCTTCTTCTTAGTCAAATTTTGCAGAATTTGCTGTTGATTATAATTTTGGGGGGGGGGGGGAAGTTGGCTAATAATTTTTTCTTAATTGCAGGATTACTGTTACTTGTTATTCATTCTATGTGGCATTGAAGGTTTTCACGGCGGTGAGTCTGAAGATGTCTGTCTTCTGGGTTGTTACGCCGTGTAGTCTGGTAGAAGTTCACCGACGTTTCAGAGGTCCTTGCTGCCTCAATCATCATAACGCCCTGATAATGGAAGCAGCAAGGATCTCTGAAACGTCGGTGAACTTCTACGAGACTATATTCCGCAACAACCCAGAAGACAGCTATCTTCGTATTCATTCCAGTTTGGTAATTGTGTGCGGAATTAACAATAAAACAGCAGTAGTTCTAGCGATATAAGTAGCTTCACAATCAACAACGGAAGTATTACTATTATTAGCAGTAGTAGTATTATAGAAACCGTCATCAAATTAAATCCTTAAAGATCACAATAGAGTCGTACAACTTTTCAACAGGAACAGTAGAGACGAGGCGAATAAAGACAGCTTAAAACTCACCGCGTAGCAAATCTAGCAATGCTTTACTGTCGACTAGGGACGAACGGTAAGGAAGGTGAAGTCCTTCCGTGGTCTTGGTGACGGTTGCTATGGTATTTGTAAAATAATAGCAGTAAGCTCGAACGTGGCAATAACAGGAACTGCCAATAACAATAGAAGCAGCGATGTTAATAGGATTAATACGTGAAACAGCAGCATTATAATCATGGTATTTACTTATAATACACTGAGAAATACAATGAAGGACTTAGAATAAATTGTCACCACATCGGGAGTCGAACCGGTGATTTACGAAATATAATACAAATGACTTGTGATAACGTTGCCACGTTCTGTAGGTTCAAGCCGTGTTGTCCTGTGATAGGCTGCAAGTTATCTCTGCGGAATTTCTTACTTCGCTGTTAAAATTGTACACGATATTAAGAGTGAAACGTAGAGACGTAACTACGTCATTGACAGAAGGCGTCATGGTTGATGGCAGCAATACAACAGGAAGTGAGTCATCATGGTGGAGACATCTGTCTGCGAGACTTTGTCCTGTTAATAAACATTTATTCCCATTTGGTCACTTTAGGAAATGTCATATTGATGACAACCCATTGCACTAAACAGCAGTCTTGTCCAACATCTAAATATATGCTAGTGATGTGACTACAGAACGAAATTGTAGCGTTTTGAAGAGGTCATGGTACTCTGAGAATCCCGTTATTAATTGGACTCAAAGGGGGGAAAAAATAACAGGGGAATGTTATGTAAAGTAACACTGAGTTACATGACGTCAGCCCTTCATTTAATATTCAGATGACAGAATGGAGGTTTAGATGGGCGAGGCATGTAGCATGTGCTGTAGATGAGAGGTGTGTCCAATATTCTTACCTGAAAATCTCAGTCACATGTAGCCTGACTTGGGCGTAAACAGAAGGACTATAAGTTACTAAAATGATTCTTAATCAAATAATTAAATGAAGATTTATCCTGAAACTAAATTGGCAAACTATAGTTTCATAAAGGTAGAGTATTTATAGTTCAGATTAGAGCCTATTTAATACCTACAACATGGAGCTCGAATCTTTGTAGAACAGCATTTCTTTTGCCCTATCTCTACGCAAACGTTTCCTTTCACAAATATACTGCCAATATTTGCATGTAGCGCCCCACCATGGGGGAATCATTTATGGACAGATTCTCGTCTTGCAACGATAAATACATATTTTTAAAAGTATGGTACTTTAAGCGGTTGAAACAGGAAACTAACTTTAGTCCTTAAGAATTTACGATCATTTAGAGTCGCTGGAAAAACTTGGTCCCCTGCCCTCGTCCGTGTTCAGTGCCAGATAAATATTTTAAAAGAATTTCATTTCTTCTCTAAATCTATTCAGCTTCTGAGACGTTGAAAGAAAATAAATCCCCGTCTTTTCTAAAACTGTTAATAACAACTATTTGTGTTTTTCCAACAACGAAAATTATATATTAACAAACAAACACAGTATAAGGAGAATAATTATATTTTAAGACAGTAACCAAATTTCTAATAACTGATTTTTACAAATAAAATTCTGATAGTCCTACACGTACGGATAAAATAAATCAATAAAAGTTAAAACACGATCGTGGAAGATTTATTTGCAGAAGCAACAAAATTGTAACTGCAATATTGTCAAATTTTGAATAATAACGTATGCAAAATATTATCAAAAGTGAAGCTTTGTGTAACTATGATAATAGCAGGCCGATATGTGTTAAGCTTTTGTCTTGTTATAAATATTTCTCACCAAAATCACTTACCTACGTGTAAAGATGACTCCATTTTTCAAATTCATTTGTACGATGAGACAGTCTATCAAGTCAGATTCATGAAGCTCCTTGGAAATTGGCCCATACGTAAGGAAATTGATGGTTACCCTATCCTATATAATACATCACTTGTTTCCCTGGTGACCATAAACAATTCAGAGCTAATCTACATGTCTCATCGAAAAGCTAATTCAGTAAGGAGACCTACCGTACATACGCATATCCTGCATAAACTTCTTCAAACTTCGTATCATACCAGGAGATGATTGCATTATTATTCAGGTGGATATGTAACGTCGTGTTACACTTTTACAGAAAATCGATTCAAATACTT